GATACATATTTTTTTAAAGCATATATAAATATATACACCCCATCCTTTCACAATCTGTTTGTGTAGGTTCCCCGGAACCATACACCCCGCACAACCAGTAACAGTAAGGCCCTGAGCACACAGTCGAGGAGCCTGCAGTAATATTCCTCCAACAATAAACCCCCCCAGATAAAACATTTCTCCGTCGGTAAACGGAGATATCAGAAATCAAAACAGAATTCATATCAGATATCAGAACAGAATCCAGATCAGAATCAGAACAGAATTCAGGTAACGTATCAGAACAGAATTCAATTCGGAAATCAGATAAAATATTTATATAATTAGGGAACACACCAGAGTTTACAGGTATTATTTAGAGGTACTGTATCAGGCAGAGAAACACAGTTATTCGGTATACCGATAGAATATCGAAATTCAGAATCACTATTGGAAGAGTTCAATAACTGACAAAATCATCAATTATTCAGAATATGACTTGAGCTGTAAGGAAGAAATGAAGATTCAGGACATTTACAATCTATGTCGATTGATCGGATTATCAAACAACTCTTAAATGAATAGCTCCCAAAATTAATGCTTGTCGATTGATCAATTCATTGTTCTTCCAGGGTATTTACTCTTTAATACCACAAACTCTTGTCCATAGATCATTTTCAGAATCATCACTGAATAGATCTTCCAATGTCTTTATTTTATTTTTATGCTTCCAATATATCATGAAATATTGACGTGCTTGATTTGTAGCTCATGATCCAGAAGAACAGTACATTGTGTATGTTCATTAATGTTTCCAAACTCATTCACATCACTTACTTAATCCTTAGTGCTTGAGGTTGCTTAGTTCATTTAGCATTCAAGTCTATTCCAGTTACTTCGGGATTTTCCAGAGTAATTTCGTACGTTTCTGAATTTCAGATACATATTGTACTTCCGTTCAGTTCAGTTCGGTCTTCGTGGTTGATTTGTCGAACAATTATCCAATTCTTAGTACCGAATGCAATCTAGAGTTGAGCTGAGCTGAATACTTCCAAAATTTATCATCGAGCCAAACTTGAGAAGACGAACACATGTTCCAGTAATATCTATTCCATTCAGATATTGACATAGCTTTAGGGTTGATCTACTCACTTAAATTATTTTCCATTACCTTTAAAGGTAGTCCAATACCTATGCTTACTTGGATTCCTTAATTAATCCAAGACATTTACTTAGTTTAGACCATAAGTTTATTTTGGTATTCAGTTTTGTTCCATTCATTTCAGAGCTAGAGGATATCCAATCATACATGAGCTTGGTGATATTCTTGGGTCATTTCCATTATAGGGGTATTTTGGTCATTTTACAGATCTACGGTATTTCAATCTTTTCCTTCCATCCGGTCTTATTATTTAATTCAATCTTATCATTTACTTTAGTCATTTCGAACAATTCTGACAGCAGAATACCCCCGATAAATTACTCTTCTAGTATTTACTCATCATTCGAATATTTTCGGGTCAAGTGTCTTCTCAGATTTTACAAATAGAATGTCATGAATTTTTCTGTACAAAGACAGGATCTTAACAATTAAATTCATACTTAATCGAGATAAGTACAAATCCTCAAAGTACTTTCTCATTCAAGGTCAATTCAGACTATTTTATATCTCAAGGGTATTTTCGTAATTTCTTAACCAGATAATTTCGATATTAGCTCTTAACGAAAATAATTAATTTAGAGATCCTATGATTATTTGCTTTCCCGAACATTCTCTTATCTTAAAATGATTCCTTAACAGACTTCTAGTATCTTGCACAAAACCCTCTTGGGTTAAAAACCGGTTATCCAAATTTTCCAAGCAAAACTAGCATTTCTATGCACATCAGTAGTTTCATCAAATCAATATGTCTTTACAACTTCTTATCCAACTTTCATAGTCAATTCTTGTCTTTTTACAACATAAGGGTATTTTCGTAATTTTATCCTATCGGAGTATTCTCATATTTTCTCATCCAAGTACCTTTAACATTTAACCTTTGATGAAATAAATTATAAGTTACAAATCGAGGGATGATTTCTTTATCATTAATCACAAACTTGTAATTTAATTCTAATAACTCCTCAATCTCTTATATTAATCATTTGATCCGTATTCAGTTACAGAATTTCTATCACATTCATATCGAGTGTATAAATTATTCAATTCCACAAAAGTGACCAACATTATATTATTCATGCATTTATCAATATCAACATGTTCCAAAAAGCATAAAGAGGTAGTAAAGTATTACCTCGATTTTCGTGCGATACTGATCGACCATAAAAATTCCATTCGAATGCCTTTGATCTTCAATTCAACTTCCAATAATTCCTCAGATACATATCAACATAAATTATATCAGAAACGAAGCTTGATTGCGATAAACGGATCGAATCGGGTGATAAATCAATGAAAGACGGCTTACCGGGTTCGAATTTGGCGAAACGGACTTCGGATTCGGATTCAGGACGTCCAAAGAATAAAATATGACTTTTCGAAAATTTGGAATTTTCGGTCAAAATCAAAGTCAACGGGTTTGACCGGCAATTTTAAGGCCTTCGGGTTCGAATTTCGAAAAACGGACAGCGAAATCGGATTTGGAACGTCGAAAAATGTCAGGATAGGTATACTCGGTCGAAGTCAAAGGTCGTTTAATACCCGGTCAAAGCTGGTCAAAGTTTTGGTCAACAGTGGTCAACGCCGGTCAACGGGTCGGGTCAACGGGTCGGGTCGGGTTATGACCGGTCAAACCGGTCATCTATACACCAAAACCGGTCAAACCGGTCATTTGGACCATCCCCACGCGCAGTGGCGGTGCGTGGGGGTGCGTGAACAGTGCCCTGATATCGAAAAATTCTCGAAAAAATTCCTAAAAATTATTTTAAGCGATTTCGAGATACTTACAAAGCTTGGTTCAAATTTTTGAACGGCGGAGAGCTTGATTTCAATGAATCAGAAACTTTGACCACTTCACTTCCTCACGCGCCGCTATCGACGGAGACCAAGGATGACACCGGCGAACTCGGAACGATGCAACGAACACGATGGTGCGGGAGGTGTCGTAAACTGATGACCCGATAGTCGTGAATCGATGAAAAACCAACTAAAATCGAGTTATTACCGACGATACTTCTGACTGAAATTAACGACGAACGACGATGATTCACGACGAAAGGTTTGAGGGGTTTTGTTCCTCGGTTGACAATGAACATGATGGTGGTTTCGGCTCGTCGATCGGAGGTCGGACGGCGAGTAGATCGGAGTTGAAAGTTGGTTGATCGGAGAGGGAAAATCTGGAAAATTTTCCAGAAAACATACGGGAATGGGGGATTTATAATTCAACTCATAATAAAAATGGGTAAACCATGAGTTTAGTCACTGAACTTCATGCACTTCTTAAAACGGTCTGTCAACTTTGAAATGTTACAATTTAATCCCCAATTCTTTCCAAAAATACCAATTAAATTCACCAATTTATATTTTCTTAAATTTAGCCCCCAAAATTTGGGTGTTACAAAAATCTCTTTATGGTTTGAAGCAAGCTTCACGACAGTGGAATTTGAAGCTTATTGAAGCATTGGTAGCATCATGATATCAACAGAGTAAGTTTGATTACTCGATGTTCACAAAAAAGGAGGGTGAAAGATTGGTGGTAATACTCATTTATGTAGATGATCTTCTATTAACTTGCAATGATTTAGTCTTGATCAATGAGTTGAAAGACATGCTAAATTGCAGTTTTAAGATGAAAGATTTAGGGGAATTGAAATACTTCTTAGGACTTGAGGTCTTAAGGTTAGAAGAAGGAATTGTGTTAAACCAGAGGAAGTATGCTTTGGAATTGTTAAAGGAGACTGGTCTTGAAGGAGTCAAACCAACCTTGACCCATTTATAGCAAAATTTGAAACTCACCTCCACAGAATATGATAAACATTTGCAGCAAAAGGAAGATGAAGTGTTGGTTGAAGAAAAGTTTTCAAAGGTTAATTGGAAGACTAATATACTTAACATATACTCGGCCATATATTACATTTGCAGTTCATCATCTCAGTCAGTTTATGCAACAACCGAAGAAAACACATTTAGAGGCATCATTGAGAATTGTCAGGTATTTGAAGAAGGAACCATGTCAGGGGATATTGTTGAAGAAAACAGGCAATAGTCAGCTGTCAGCATATTGTGATTCAGACTGGACTTCATGCCCTATGTCACGAAAATCAGTTACTGGTTTTTGCATAAAGTTAGGTGATTCTTTGATATCCTGGAAATCAAAGAAACAAAATACAATGGCAAGATCATCAACAGAAGCTGAATATCGAAGTATGGCAATGGTTGCAGCTGAAATAGTGTGGTTAAGTGGCATTTTGAAGGAACTGCGATATGATATTTTGAGGCCAGCAAAGCTGTTCAGTGATAGCAAAGTAGCATTACAAATTTCAGCAAATCCAATATTTCATGAACAGAAGAAGCACATTGACATAGATTGTCATTTTGTCAGAGAAAAGATACAAGAAGGGTTAATCAAAGCTGAGTATGTATCATCTGCAAAACAACTTGTTGATATTTTAACTAAAACATTTGGGATACCACATCACAACTATTTGGTGGGCAAGTTAAGATGAAAAATGTTTTAATCTCTCAACTTGAGGGGAGTGTAGAAAACGGTTGTAGGAGATTATTTCTGTTTGTCTAGTTAGAGAATTAGTTAATCTGTTTTGGTTAGTTTACAAATTGGTTAGCTGCCTAGTTTTTATATAAATACACTGGTCGTATAATCTTATAATGCAGAGAAATAAACTGAACTTTCCGGTATCCTTGAATTGGCATTTTAACACAACATCGTATAAATGTTGTTTGGTTTGGATGGGCGTGCCCTCTTTCTCTGTTTTTAGAGGCCTCTTGTGTTCGTCCTTCATTTTTCTTCTCCCATTCGCAAGCTCCCCTCGTACTTCGAACCCTAACACAGGAGAAGATAACAAAAGGTTATCTTCACGGAAACCCGATTAGTTTTCCCTTGAAAATCGCCGGGTAAAATGCAGCACCCGAGGCTGAAGCAACAGGCCCTGATGCAACAAGCTCTCCTCCAGAAACAGTCTCTCTATCACCCTAGCTTTTTGGCACCTCCTCAGGTTTTCAACTCTTTCTTTTTTTGTTTTATTATCTTTTAAGTTTTTCTTCAATTTCTGTTTTCATCGAGCTTCTGATAGTTGTTGATCCGGTTTTCAGAAATGATCTGTTGGATATATTTTTATTTTTGAAATCGTGTTTGGTTTATTGTTTTTGAATTGGTGGAGATTGGGCTAGTTTGATATTTGATGTTTTTATATCTGATATTTGAAACATAAGCTTTTACCATGAGTTTTGCTTGAATTCAATCGACTTTGTTCCTATTTTGTTACTATTTCTTAATTTATGGTTGGAGAAAATTTTTCGGATTTGGTTTTGAGAAATGAGAAAAGCTAATGACTTAAAATACGCTCATTGTTTTGAGAATTTTTTTCGGACTTGAACTGAAGCTCATTGTTTTGAGAATTTTTTTTTTCGGATTTGAACTGAGGCTCATTGTTTTGGGTTTGAAATTTGACCAAAGACTGAAGTTCAAATATTCTTATTCCTCTTAGACAGAGTTCAATGGGAAAGCTACTATGTTCTTTGTTGTTTCTTCTTTCTCATTTACCGTGTTTCTTTCTTGATTGGTTAGTCTTTGTTTTGTTTCTCAAATTTTGAGAAATGATTGAGTGTATTCGAATAATGTTTAGTTTCCACCTATCTGGAACACATGCACAATCAATCAGTCTTTTGTCCATGTTTATATTTGTCTATCTTTATCTCTAATTTGGAAATATTCTGTGAAATGTGCAACTTATCTGTTTCTTCTTTCCAATCGAAGTGTAAAACATGGCTTCTGCATTTGATTTTGGGAATCTTTACATTTATAGGGCTGAATATAACAACACGGAGCTAATTTATAAAGTATATGGTGCTTTTAATCTATCTGCATTATTTCTTTGTTACATGTCCAGCAGTTCTTTCTGTTTGAATTGTGCAGAAATATATTTATTTTCACTTAGGAGGAGGGAGTAGAAAGGAACTTTGAGCATCCTTATTCTTGATTACACTGATCTGTGAACTATGGTTCTGCTAAAGTATGTCTTATCTAGATGCGGCTGAATTAATTTTGATTTGGTCGGCACTGAAAAAAAATAAAAGGGGGCTATGTGATAATTGAGTTGAGTTGAGTGGGAAGTGACTTTTTTGTACACCGTTTTTTTCATTTCCCCTCTTTTATTTTTCACTTTTTTATTCTGCAGATAGAGCCAATCCCAAGTGGAAATCTGCCTCCTGGTTTTGATCCATGTACTTGCCGCAGTGTGTGAGTGTTTGCCTAGATTTTTTTTTCCTTTCTCCATTTTGCTTCTTGTGCATACCATGCACCACTTGTTTCCCCTTCTTGCTTAAGCAACTACCCTAGCCACTTGTGTGCTAATAACCATATACATCGGAGGTGCTTTCCTTTATGAGTCTGGTGATTGAATATGTTGCTACGACCCTTCGTGCAAAATTCTAAGCAAATTGCTCCTTGATTTGATAGTTAAGATTTTTGGAGTGTGATAGTTTGGTAGATACTTAAATGTTCTTGCATCTTTTTGACAATTTATAAAGTTACTTATATAGTCTTTTGTCTCTTCTTTTTTTCAAACTTCTAGTTTTTTTTTTTTATTTTTGAGAAACTGCAGGTATGCGGGAAACGTCCATTCACAAGTGACTGAACCTCTACTCCAAGAGGTTTTTGCAAGTACTGGTCCTGTTGAAGGTTGCAAGCTTATTAGAAAGAAAAAGGTATTTGCCCTCTTCTTCTTTTTTAACCATTATAAAGCTAAAAGTTTTGAGGGTTCTCTAATCGTGCAATGGTTAACTTTCTTGACTTGGTTTTTTCTCCCTTTTACTTTCTCATGTCGCCAAATGATTGACATATTGTTTTTCCTCCAACTGGAACAGTCATCATAAGGGTTCATCCACTACTTCGATTGTAGATCAGCTGCTCTTGGTAGCAGCTGCTATATTTTCTCTAAATGGAAGGCATTTGTAAGCATTAATTTTAGTTTTTTCCTCTTATTTTGCCTTGGGTTAGCTTTGATATCGTATCATATAATCTGCAGATTTGGACAGCCTATCAAGGTTAATTGGGCATATGCTAGTGGTCAGAGAGAGGATACATCAGGTTTTTCTCATTTTTTTGTTTGTTTGGAAATTTTGCTCGAAACATTATGATCCGCAGGAAATTTCTTTCTTGTTTTACTGTTTGATGCTATCAAAATCAGTGCAGGTCACTTTAATATTTTTGTTGGGGATCTCAGTCCCGAGGTTACTGATGCAATGCTGTATGCATGGTTTTCTGTCTATCAGAGTTGTTCGTAACTGTGTTTTTGTCAATTTGATCTTGATTTAAATGAATGCATTGGCTCTAATATAACTTATTAAAAGTAAAGGCCCAAACTATCAGTAGTGATTTATTGGTGGTGACATGAATAACAACTTTGATATCTTAACTGATTTAGAGATGCGGGAGTTATGTGGGATCAGAAAACTGGGCGCTCAAGAGGATTTGGGTTTGTTTCATTCCGCAATCAGCAGGTACTGTTGCTTGGTCAAGTTTCTGGCGCCCCTATCTCTTCCATTATATTTCATCTATTGGTGTTGACCCTTTTTCCCTCTGTTCAGGATGCACAAAGTGCAATTAATGACTTAAGTGGTAAGATTGATGCTTTTACTCTACACAGATTTTTTTCATCTTCATTTGTTTGCATTGTTAGCTCATCGAATGAAGCATTTAGCTTCAAAAGTTTTATTTCATATCTTTTGTGCTTTGGAGTGTTCTTAATATGTTTATGAAATATTAGTACAAAATGCCTTCCCTTTTCTTTGTCCTCTGTTATTCTTTCATGTTTTTTTCCTGTAAAATCACCATGTGTAGAGGACCAATTCGTTAAAATATTGTGGCTGATCTGTTATAAATGTATTAGTACTATTTTTAGACAAATTACATGGATGAATAACTGTTATTCAAATTGCCGTAAAAGTTCAAATGTGCTTCTGATTTATTCTTTTAGGAAAGTGGCTTGGCACTCGGCAAATCCGTTGTAACTGGGCAACAAAGGGTGTTAGTAGCAACGATGACAAGCAAAGCTCTGATGCTAAAAGTGTGATTGAACTAACCAATGGTTCATCAGGTATGTTTGCTTCTACAGCAGGGTTCTTTTAAATCATTAACATTAATATTACTTTGTTCAATGCTTAAATAAAAAAAACTTTTATATATCTTTAAAATTTGTACCTATTTGGGAAATAAATTTACATTTGTTACCTTGGTATGCAGAGGATGGTAAAGAGACCACCAATGAGGCTCCCGAGAATAATCCTCAATATACTACTGTTTATGTGGGCAATCTTGCACCAGAGGCAAGTAATAACATGCAAGAGATCTTCTAGTTATTGTTTTTAGGCATTAAAGTTAGTGCTGAAATCGTGTTACCAAGCATTACGAGCTTACTTTACATAGATAAAGTAAAACAGGCATTTTTACCACTTTTAGCAACTCTTATATTTCCATATGCATGCAGAATACTCTAATTTTACAATAGTTTTATCATCTTTTTGAAACTCATCTGAAATGAAAAAAATTGATCTTTTACCCATCAATGCAGGCATCCTGTCGTGTATGAACCGTTAAAACATCCATCTTTTAATAAAGTTTTTACTGCATGTGAGAGATAGACTAGTGTTCTGAAAGTTCACTGTATTTTAAAAAGGAACTTTTTAAGTTGTCCAATTAAACTATTCCTTTTAATCCTGCAGGTCACTCAACATGAACTCCATTGTCACTTCCATGCTCTTGGTGCTGGGGTGATTGAGGAGGTTTGGGTCCAGCGTGACAAAGGTTTTGGCTTTGTGAGATACAGAACTCTTGCTGGGGCTGCTTTGGCTATTCAGATGGGGAACATTCAGTCATTTCTATGTGGCAAGCAAATTAAGGTTCGTCCTCTGTGTTTTAGCCAGAATGTGGCTACTGTTTTTGAGAAATATAAATATAGAAACATTGATGTGTAGTTTTTAAAGTCTTTGGAGGATGATTTGGAAAATCCGTGCATAACTTGGTATATTAATTGAATCATTGATTATTAAATATCCAAAAAATAGTTGGATGACTCTTATATACGGTAAACATTCTTTAGATTCAATCTTGCTCGTCTGTAATCTCATAGTTACTCTACCAACTTTCATTTAAAAATAAAATCTTTGGTCCTTGGATAATGAGAAATTGACAAGTGTAATTTGTTTGATTAGTGCTCCTGGGGCAGCAAGCCTACACCACCGGGGACAAATTCAAATCCACTTCACCCACCTACAGCTGCACCTTCACTGGGCCTTTCAGCAATTGACCTTTCAGCTTATGAAATGCAATTGGCTATGAGCAAAATGGGTGGCGTTCATGCCCTAATGCACCCTCTCAAGCAGGCAGCAATGGGATTGGGTGCTGCCGGGGGAAGCCAAACCATATATGATGGTGGGTTCCAGAATGTTGCTGTTGCTCAGCAGCTATTGTACTATCAGTAGTACCAATAGAGTTCGTGTGATAATATCCTTAATTCCTGCATTGGCAGGGATTTGCTTGAGTTCTAAACATAAGATTTAGGTGCCTTTTTTCTATAGCAAATTGTTTGCCTATTGTATCCTTTTACTTATTTCGAGCTTTTATCGAGTTCTAAACACGGCTAGGAAACTTTTTAGTGTATTTTATCTTATATATCATACAGTACAGCCTGTTCCATTGATATATATATATAAAGCTTTCTCTGCAGTCTACTTCTACGTACCTGATATTTCCTTTTTCTTGTTGTATATGTAAGGGTTCTTTAGAAGAAACACGATCGGAAACAATTTCATCCGAGGCAGTGAAGATTGATTTATGATGCGTTGTTTGAAATGGGGGTTCATAACTTTGGAGGGAGCATAGAATTAAAATGCAACATCCATCAAAATCATTGTTGAACTCACAAATTCATTTAAAGGCGATAGACCTGGTAATGCAGCTTCATCGGCCTGACGAATTTTCCGGCTTTCTCGAGGTTTCAGAGCTCAGTGTAGTGGTCGGCAATTGCTCCATGAGAGCATAAAACAGTTCTGGAAATCGCTTTCCCTCTGGTATTTGGCAATGTAGTAAGTAGTCTTAACAGCTGATGAATCTCAGTTTCCATTAACATCTTCAAAGGATTGTCCAAAGTCCCCTACTTTACTTGTAAAAAGGTGCTAGCTTCCCTGGTTCAACCATCAAAATTAACTCCAAGATTATTATACAACGATAGTTTCTTTTCCACCATGAACTCGATCACCCACCGTGTCTCATATTACAACTAATTCATATGAATAGTTCTGAAGTAGAGGTGTGCTAGAATTCGACAATTGAGGATTTGAGGTTGGGGTTTTGACCTCCCAAAACTTTACATTAAACACTGTTTGGCTGCATCAAAATAACTTATTACTAACATTTATATTATTTCACAGATAAATTATAAATTTAATTCTTAAAGTTTAAATTTTCATTATTTTTAATTAATATGATTTTTTTAATTTCGTTTAATTTGATTCTTAAACTTTTTAATGTTTTTAATAGAACCATCGATTATAACATTAAATTTATAATTGCGCTGACATGATAATATGTACTAATAATTTCTATGTAATTTATATTTATTTTTTATTTTTAAAATTTTAGAATAATTTATATTTTTATTATAATTTTTAATTTATTTATTGATATAATGTATAAAACAAATAATATCAAATTAATATAAAGTAAATTATACGGTTAAATTAACACTGTTAAAATTTTAATATTTTAATAAACACTTTTTTTTAAAAAAATCATTCCATCCTTTATAAAATATAAAATTAAGTTTACTAAAAAATATTAAAATTAAATTTACACAATGTATAAATGTTGATAATCAAATATATGGTTAATTCCTTTTATTTTTCAATCGTTTTTCAATGTTTTCCTTTCTCTGTCCTGATCGAGACAAAACCCATTAAATCTCAGCTTCTCATGGTTTGATTCTGGTAAAGCAGAAAAGAGTTTGACATGGGTGTTTCGTTTAAGGTATCAAAAATCGGTTCTAGGTACAAGCCCAACCCTTTTTTTCAATCCGAGGATTCAGTTGATGTTGTCTCTGAGAATTCTAGAGAGAGCTCACGGTCAAGAAAGCTCCAGGTAAATTTTATATATACCCATTTTCCCTTTGCGTTGCTGATAAAAAAACTATTGTTAAAAAAGAGAAATTGTTGGTGGAAGGAAATTATGTGTCTGTTTCGTTAAGCAGATCCCGCAGCTTGTACTTTCAAATTTTAGATATACTCATTATAAGTGTATTTTTATTCTATAGAACTAGATTTTTTGTTTATTGGTTGCTGATAGAATTTAGAGATAATTGAATTGCTGAATTTTTTTTTTTTTGTATTTTTTTATAGTTCTCTATTCATTTAAAACTTTACAGTCAAGTTTTAAGCTAAAGCATGAGCTTGATTTCATGAATTGCCCTGCTTTATTAAAATAGGTACTATAGGTAAGGGGATTTTTTACAGTTTTAATTTCCTTAATAACTGATATAAGTTCTGATTCGGTACACGTTCTCTCTTTATTTGATTCATAGTCCATAATTAAGAGAAGAGGAATGACGAAAGTAAATTAGTTTTTATGGTTTTTTTCATTTTTGTAATAGTCTTATTATTTGATTTTTGTGTGTTTGTGTTGATCCAGGGTGATATTGTTGAAGGCATTGAGCGTGTTCCTGGGGTGTCTCAATCAATAATTTCTGATGCAATGCATCGTGTTCCTGCAGGTTAGAGTCAGTCAAGCTTCAAAACCATTACTGTGTTTTTGTTTTATTTTCCCCTCTCCTGATTGTCGATAATGTTCGAATTGTGAGCATTTTTGTTTGTTCTTTCTTGTTTTTGCAGACCATGAAATTTCCTTCACCTTGAATCTTTACCCAGATGGCTATTCTATTGGAAAGCCCCAAGAGGTTCATTCAAGACAACATTGACGATACTATTTCCTCTGGAAAATGTTTACTAAAATGAAAGATTCTTTTGTTTCTATCTTTTAAGTCATTTTAAAGTTAAAGCAATTGTTGAATTTTCAGGAAGCTTTGCATACTGTTCCGGATGCTCCAAAGTTGCATCCATATGATAGGTCATCTGAAACTCTCTTTTCAGTAAGTGTTTAACAAAACATATTTATTTTTCTGCTTTCAGTTTTTGTCTATTTAAGATCAACTTTCATCTTCATGGTTATTTCTACACCTTTGTAAATTTTTGTCTTCTACATCAATTTTTTTGGAGTACGCATTGGGGAAGTTAGTTGTTGGATAGTGAAAAATATAAATCTTCAATTTCAATGGCTTGATTAACCGAGGCCTTCAGTGCTGTTAGCAAAAAAATTCTCACACTCATTAGCCTTGGTGGATGGGATAGCGTGATCTCTGTTTTCCATTTTATAGCTTATTCTTTGCATTAATTGTCTGTAAATGTTGACTAGCAGTGTGTCTGATGACATTGTTCATGTTTTAATGATCTGAGGAAACGTTGTCCAAAGATACCTGGCCATAATTCTATGTTGCCTGGTAATTTGACTTAATCTTCCTCTATTTTGGCTTGGGAGTTGGGATTAGCTAATTCATTAATATTCTTTGAAAGGTGGGAGAAATTGAACTTTGATCAATGTAATTTCGTTCTTAATTTTGCTACATTGAAACAATTGCTCTTTATCTACAAGAAAACTATATTTTCAGGGGGGAAAAGACCTCCAAGAAAACTTAGAAGCATGATTGTGGAATTTTTTGCAACATTGTAGCCATTTATTCATGTTTAATCAACTATAATTTTGGTTTTTACTATTTACCTTTTTTTTAGAGAACCCCAATTTTTTAATTTTTATCAAAACACAAGTTTTTTTAGTTTTAAAAAACAAGTACTAATAGTTACATCCAATTCAGCATCTGTGATTTTGAGTGGTTTGCTGGTGGAGTTAACCCACTCATCTCTTGGAACATGGTTTGAGAAATGAAGTCATTGGGGTATCAGGAATAATTTTGTCTTAATTTAATGAGGCTATTACTTAATATTTCATTTAAACTGCAGCATTATTATTACTCTAAATTTCTTTTTACCAAGTTTTTTCCTATGTAAGCTCTACTTATAATTTATCTCCTCGTTTGTTTCTGAACGCACTTGCAGGCAATTGAATCTGGCCGGTTGCCAAGCGATATTTTGGATGATATACCTTGCAGATATGTTGATGGGACACTCATATGTGAGGTGAGTTATAACTTATCATAATTATCCTTTCATCTAATAAGTCAATCATATTCTAGGCTGTTCCCTTGAATCTGTGTTATATCCTTTCAGTTACCAATTGTTTTGAGTGTTTACAAAAGCAAGTCTCAACTCACTTGAACTAGCCTTGAACCCAGCTCTATACTGCAGTTTATGTACAATCACTCGCAGGAGCACCATCTCTGCTTTCCTTTTCTTTTTCCCTCTAATTCCCCCCGTGCAATTGTGGTCAAATAACTTTTGACTTCTTTTTCGGTGTATCTGAGAAGGGAGCTTAGGGTGTATCAGTTTTTTCTTACTTAATTGCTACCAACTTCTATTATAGCACGAATAATGTTAATGTGCGTTTAATGTAATATAATTTTGCTTAAAATTCATGTTTTCTTTTTAAGGTGCGTGATTATCGGAAAGTTGCACCTCATCAAGGATCTAACACCCCACCAATTGATGGAGCCCCTATCATCAATAAAGTGCGTCTTAAGATGTCTTTGGAGAATGTAGTGAAGGATATTCCATTTATCTCAGATAATTCATGGACGTATGGTGATTTGATGGTACATATTGACAGCTCTCCCATCCTTTGTATATGGCCGCTGTACATGTTGCAAATCTGTTATATGTTTAATTCCTTTTGACTGCAGGAAGCAGAGTCTCGGATATTGAAAGCCTTGCAACCACAACTTTGTTTAGATCCCACTCCCAAATTGGACAGACTCTGTACTAACCCTGTTCCAACTAAGGTGATGAGTTCACAAAGTAATGCCTGTTTCGTCTTCTTTGAGAATCCAGTTTTGTCTTTCTTAACCATGTCCAAATTGCAGCTTGACCTTGCTTCATGCAGCTTGAGGAGAAAGAGATTGAGGCAGACTCCAGAAGTTACAGTCACCTCTACTAGTAAGATCCATGGGAAGAAGGTTTATATAGATAGAGTGACAGAAAGCTCTAATGGCAGGTTGGGAGAGGCTGGAATTGTTACAGGGAGTTTGATGCTACAACAGGAAAATCTGATTTCTCAAAGTATTGGTTCAAGCAATTTGCTGGGATTAAGACCTAAAAGTTTTATGCAAGATTCATCCATTCCAGCACTACCCATGGCAACACAGTCACCAAGGTATCGGATGGGGCTTGCGAATGCTAGGAGCATGCAGGATCATGGGTCTAGCTCTTTTATCACCGCATCAGCTGCCTCCCTTGTTGGGCAGGACGTGACAATGTCGTACACTGACAACATAAACTCTGGTGCTTCTCTTCTTGGGAAGAGGGAGAACCTAGATGGTCCAATGTCACCTTTGTCTGGCCTTAATAAAAGAACTAGACTTAATGCTGTTGGCGCAGACGGGGTGCAACAGCAACAAGTTGGGCCACATATGGATGGCCTGCATGGACAGGATATGAGCTGGAAGAATATGTTACTTCCCCAGCAAGCAATTGCGAGAGGAATTCAGTGTGCCAATACGAGCATGCAGAGGCACCCTCAGCAGGTTTTTGAAGGGGTTCTGAATCAGGAGGCTGGTGCAATGCCATTTGCTACAGGACATCAAGCATTGAGATATGGTGCTAAGGAAGAGCCATTTGATCCTACTGACAAGTTGGATGGCTCTGAGCTGAACCGGGAATCTGATGCAAACCATTTGGACCCACATCAGACACGCCTTCAACCAAGATCATTGCATGGATTTGCAAGACCTGGTTTTCCTCAAACAACTTGGAACAACATTAATCAGCATGTCGAGAAAGATGCGAGAAAGGAAGAATTCCAAAAATGGAAATCAGTGCAAAGCCCACGTTTATCAAGTGGAGCTTTGCCACAATCTCCACTATCATCAAAATCTGGGGAATTTTTAAGTGGTCCTGTAGGACATCACTTTGGAGCTGTTGCAGCAGCCTCTTCCCTTGGAGCATCTCTAAAGGAGAAAGCTGTCAACTCAGTTCCTGCTGTTGGCGGTACTCCATCTTTGACTTCAAGTGCAAATGATTCTATGCAACGGCAACACCAGGCTCAAGCTGCTGCTAAGAGAAGATCAAATTCCCTCCCCAAAACCCCTGTAATAAACACAGTTGGATCTCCCGCAAGTGTTAGCAATATGAGTGTTCCATTAAATGCAAGCAGTCCTTCCGTTGGTACCCCACCTTTGGGTGATCAAACAATGCTTGAAAGGTTCTCCAAGATTGAAATTGTAACTATGAGGTATGATGTCGATTGAATTATTTCTGCATTAGAGTTTTGTGATTGATTTCGAGCCATTGATTAAATACAATTGTGTTTCCATTCTGTATATAGTGTTATCATCATCTTTGTGAAACTTAACAGGGCGCGCTAGAGCCTCTTATTTACATGAAGCTTGTTCTACTTGCTTTTTTTTTTTTTTACTTTGTCCTGTTGAAGACCAGAATATGACCTCAGGCACTTGCTTGGTTATATGTTATTCATTGTTTTTAATAAGTAAAATTAATGTCTTGTCATTTCCTGTTAAAAGCTGTGTAGATGGTGATATTCATTTTATGGTTTTGATTGCAGGTATCAACTCAACAGAAAAAAGAACAAGGGTGAGGAGTACCATGTCCGGAAACCCAGCTCACATTCTCCTCAACTAATATCAGCCTGTCTAACAAGTCTTTCCAGTAACGAGGATTTCAAACATGAATTGAATCCACTATCAAAGTCACTTATTGGTGGCAGTATGAATACCTGCAAGAAAAGAATCTTGAATTTTGTACAGGGTGAGTGTGCTTTTCAAGGTTTTCTTTGTTGTTATATCTCAGATTCTGGTCCTTCATAAATAAATATTTATGGTTTATTTCCCTTGCCTTGACTTTGCTCTACTTTGATAGGGAATCTCGTTTCTCTAGTTCCTAGGGTAAGAACTAGAATGGTAATGTCTGAGAAACCAACTGATGGGACTGTAGCAATGTTTTCTGGAGACATAGATGATGGTGAAATTCTTAGTGCAGAGGATCATATTTCTCACCTTCCTACACTTCCTAATACTGTAAGTTTATTTACTTCCTGAAATAGGAGTATGCCTTTTAGACAAATTGGAAACTGCCTGAACTCGGGTGGCAAAAGCAAATCTCTGCCATCAATTAATTTTAGTTTTTTTAGTCTTTTGCTAGTTTCTCTCTCATACTACACTTACCTCCTATATTTTTATTGTTCTGCTTTTGGGTGCTTATTGTTGTCTTGAAAACATATTATCTTTGGTGTTCATTCAACTTAGTTTTCATTTGGACGTCTTGGAGGATGTCCTGAAGGTCTACGTCAACTAATCTAACCTCCCTGTGAATTTAGATATTTCTCACCATGTTCTTTTCAACTCATGTTCCCTTTTGGAGCCTACATTGAATTCTGTTAAACTCAGCCTCAGACTTTAAGAAAGACCATCAATTATGCCATTGTTTCGTTAAGAAAGTTTCTCTTAGGCTGGTATTTTATGTCATCCCATTCTGGGTTTACCATTAAGCTGCTACGCTGCAATTTGAAGTTTGTAAAATCAAACCTTTCTACTCTTCTTATCCATATAAGAATTCTTATGTTGTTGTTCTGACTTGTTCATCTCATGAAATCCTGCAACAGTACATGGCGGACTTATTTGCGGCGCAGTTTTGTTCACTGGTATGTCAGCTAATAGTCTCTGACATTCAGAGTTTGAGATTTTAGGTTACAATAATGATTTTGCTTGCTTTTTTTCCTCTTCTTTTTAATTTGTGGATGCAGATGCTACGTGAAGGACATCACCTTGTGGAAGATAATGTTCAGGCAAAACCAACTCGTGTGCTTATGGCCTCAAGCAGTCAACCAAATCCTGCTGTAGCTTTTCCCAACAATTCTGCTGCCGATATGCAGCATACTATGCAGCAGTATGCTGAAGCTGTTCCAGGTCAGGCAATCAATGAGGTGGCAAAGCAGAATAGCGGTAATAATATTTCTATAAATCCTTCTTCGAGTGCTCTAGGAAACAGTAGGATGTTGCCTCCTGGAAACTCTCAGGCCTTACAGATGTCCCAAGGACTACTATCTGGGGCTTCAATGCCTGCAAGGCCATCACAACTTGATCCACAACCACAACAACCGCAACAGCAGCAGCAAAGTCAACAGCACACTTTGCTTCAACAACAGCATCAGCAATTCCAGATATCACCAATGATGCTTACATCAAATCCTCTCACACATTTGAATGCCATTGGGCAGAATTCAAACATGCAGTTGGGTAATCAAATGGTCAACAAATCTTCAGCTCTCCAACTTCAGATGATACAGCAGCAACAGCAGCAGCAATTGCAACAACAGCAGCAGCAGCAGCAGCAGCCACCGCAGCAGCAGGTACAAATGCAGAGGAAAATGATGGGACTAGGTGCAGCTGTAGGTATGGGAAATTTGGTCAGGATTGGAGGCCTGGGCAATACAGCTGGAATTGGAGGGGCAAGTGGGATTGGTGGAACAGGAATATCAGCTCCAATGACTGCTATTTCTGGCATGGGAAATGTGGGCCAAAACCCAATGAATCTTACAGGTGCAAATATAACCAATGTGATAACCCAGCAGCTTCGATCTGGTGCACTAACGTCACCACTACAGGCTGTCGTATCACCTACACAGGTAGGCTCACCATCAACCATTGGAATTTTACAAACGAATCAGCCACCTCAACAACAGCAGGCCCAGCAACAGGCCAGCCCACAGCAAATGAATCAAAGGACTCCCATGAGTCCCCAACTGAGCTCAGGTGCTATTCATGCACTAAGTGCGTGTAACCCAGATGCCTGTCCACCCAGTCCCCAGTTGAACTCTCAGACCCTGGGCTCAGTTAGTAGCATCGCAAATTCTCCTATGGAGCTAGGTGGGAACAAGAGCAACTCTGGTGGAAATACATAACATGTTCTGTGCAGTATCATCTTAATACTAAATTCTAGCCGCATCAGTGCCAAGCTATCCCCCTCCTGGAAGAACCTTTAAAGCTAATTTTGCAGACAGATCAGCATCAGTCGATGAAAGCAGTTTGATTTGTTGAAAAGGAAACGGTTGATGTTTGTTCCAATACTCTAGCCGCCTTGGTGCCTATATATAACAGACTATTTACAACGATGGGTCGCTTTTCCTTCTCGTCCTAGGATTTCTCGTTTTATGTATAACAAGGTATAGCACTAGACTAGTTGGCGTGCCTATTTGTTATTTAAAGTTATGGGTTTGAAATTGAATACCTTCTTGCCAAAATAATACATTTCATAGGTTTTATGTAGTACTTGCACCTCTCATTAATTTTATCAGTTCTTACAATTGCAGTCTGAACAAACTTTGCTAATCTCGATTTCACCAAAATACTTCAATTTCTTCTCTGTGGTTTGAATCCATAATTTATTTTGAAGGAATTAAATGTCATAGAGAGGCAGTCTCTTTTGTCACTAAAATGTCCTAATAATTGCCGCCACAAATCACATAATGTGATGACTGGATGAACTAAAGTGGCTAAACCCGCGTTTCCTTTGGCATTTTAGTTCGCTATAGGACCTTTGAACTTTTTGATATGTACATCTATGAAGCAGTTGAAGACGGATAATTTTTAGCCTTCATATAAGGGAATAGCACAGGACTATGATGAGTTTCAATCTGATCTTATAGAGTCGTTTTATTTTATTTTTATAAATTTGACTCAGATTTTGGTTTATGGTAAAAATTAAAAGTCTACTTGAGAGAATAATGTAATTGTTCCTTACACATTTAAGAATATATATATATATATATATATATATATATATATATATATATATTTTCAATTGAATTCTTATTTTACCTTTTTGATCAGGTGGAATCTTTCAAAATTTAGGTCAGATAAGTTTCAAGTGGAGTAGGTATTTTTTTTCAAAACGGGTTAACCTGAAACCCGACCCATCCTACTTCAGATACCAGGGAAAGGGACGCTTCATAATATTGAGAAAACATTGACAAATGCAAGAGCAGCCTCAATCTTAATGCAAAAATTACAAATTATAACTAGCTCATTTTGGCTTTAATCAATTGACCAGCCACACCTGAAGGGAGCTACAGATGATGTTGAAGCTATTGCAGCAATTAAGTTGGTCAATCCAGCAAGCAAATTAGCAATTAAGGAAACATAAATCTGGGCTTTTCTTCTCAAATATAGGCAACACAAACAGGCATGAGTTACTGCTGTAGATTAAGCCAGTGAGCACAAACTTGTGGTGACTCAGTAAGTAAATTAGCAAACAAAAACTTGGACAGTGAAACACTAGAATAAGTTAATAATACTTTTCAAGTTTACTATTTGGATGTTGTATTCTGGCTTTCAATATAGAAAGATTAGTTTTGTTTTGAACATATGCTCTACAGCTATGGTCTCTCTTTCACAATTCCAGATTACAAATTTGTACCTACGACTTCGCAGAAAATTGTGTGATGAAGAAAAACCAGAATTCGCTCCAATGTTTGGTCTCTGGGTGTGGCAAGAAGCTGCTCAAAGCAACAGGGAAGCCCAACGAATTCTGATGAGTTCTTAACGCTATGGAGCATAGTTGAATCACCATAACTTTGTTTTCACCCAGAAGAGGAGGAAGACAACTCCCAACACAATGGCAACAGGAGCCCACTTACGAATCAAAGCCTACATGCAAAAGGAAACAAATATAACCAAGTATCGAACTTTGTTCAAGGGGGAAACACATATAAAGAACATAACTAATCTATCAATCAACTATGTTTTCCACCAAGAACATAACTTCGCAGTACAGCTTTAGTACCTTGAACAAAGTCAAAGGCAAAACCTAACATCTAACAGAAAAACAGTTAGAGAATGAGAGGGAGAGAGATGCACCATATAAAGAAAACTAACCTGCCTATTTAAATCTCTTGCCTTGTCAGCATACATACGAGATTCTGATGTCAAACGACTGGACATTTGGCTGACCTCTGTGTCATCCGCATAAAAGAAAAAGTTAAATACATATATAAACAAAGATACAAATCTATCAGCCAGTGAAAAAAAGATGGAGGTAGTACGACATTAAACCATATAACCATAATTAACTCTATCATCCAGTTATCAATCCATGTTCATACGTGTATTACCAATTAAGGGTAATTTACGAAATTTAAAGCATGCAGGCAGAAACAGATACAGAGCAACAGTTCGTCCGCCCCCCCTTTTTTTAGTAGATGCAATACAAAAAAGATGCACCGAGTCTAAAATCAATTGTAAAACCAGTAAATCACAGTTACCTAGGTTATGATAGTAAAATTTAGCATTCATCATGGTTCATTGATTCAAACAAAAAGCTTAATTAATTAGCATATATACTATAATATAATATTATAGCCTAGCATAATCCTGAACTTACGGTCCAACTTTTCACCAACACCAAGAACTTCTTGTACATTACGAGTCATTATTTGATGAACTTCATAGAGTTCATCATTCAACTTTGCAATATTACGTTGAGTACGAGTGTCCAGATACAATTTCTTCGTCTTCTGTATGAATGTATCTTAAAGACAAAAAAAGAAGAAGATAAAATCAAGCCTAGCAAGAGGAGCCGCAAAACGAAGTAGAAGAAATATTAGTTGCCCAGATGGATAAAAAAGAAAAGAAAGTCCAAACAATACAGAAATGGGGGTTACCAAATTTAATAAAGGCATAAGGCCTGGCAGCTGTTTCAATTTGTGATCCATTGACACGCTCAAATTCATTCTTGAGGTCTTCCAGATATTGAAAGGCAAGCTTCTTAGGATAAGCACGGTCACACATTGTCAAGTAACAAACACGTCCTTCAATGATATAGCTAGGAAATTAGGTCAAAGGTAACAATAAAAGTTTGATGCATTTGCATATAATACCAAAAACCATGCAAAAACAAGCCTATTGAATAACTCAAAACATGTCCAAAAAATTGACACCACCAAAGGGATACTGGAACACATATGGTCCGGTTTCAATAGACATCCTTGAAGCTTCATTATGCCCTTTGGACAGATTCTTAAATAAGGCCTTAACTTGTTGTTTGTACATTTCAGCATCTGCCAGATCACGACCATCATCAAGTCCCTCAGCCAGAGGAAGACCATCAGTAACACGAGCAATCATTGTCATCTTTACCATCTTTGCTCCCCTATTTCTAAGATACAAAAAAATCTGTTCAAACTAATATAGAAGCAAAATTAACACCCTTATTAGACATTAAAATAAAAAATTTAACTCAAAACTAAACCCAAATTCCATAATATAATATTCAGATTTCTTTAAAACAAACATATACAGATGCAGCAAATACCAATTGCCTATATTTTGATAATTTGGTTCACAAATCTTAATAGTACAAACAACCGATCATCACAATGATGACAATACAACATCTTCCAGTCCCACAAATATCATTTCAATCCATGAACATTAATCAAATAAAAGACATAACTTGATTCTTGTAATTCTTAATACAATAATCCCAAAATTCATCGAACTCCCGTAATCGATCAAAAGCAAGGTAAAGCCAATTTTCCTTTTTCTAATAAAAAAGGACATTAACGTGACCAAAGACAACCTATCAAATCAATACCGTCACAATCTAACAAACAAATACCATTCTTTCTGAAATTCCAAAAAAAAATCTACAAATTAAGTTGAATATTAAAAAAATCATATTCTGAAGAATTTTCACACCAATGCAAACAAAGCGACCGGTTTCGTTCAAAAAAGTCATAATCATATTCAGGAATGGATTAACAAAAGGTATTGGAGTTGCAGAAGGAGTACCTGATTATATAGAATATGAATCTATGGATTTCTTCTCGATTTCAACGATATGAGGCAGAGAGAACGGCCTATGACCCGACCAGTCTTTAAGAGGGGAAAATGAAAGGAGAGAGGTAAAATATGTTGGGTAAAGTTTAAAAATGGCCACTCAACTATCTAAAAATATTTTTCTAGGCAATAAATTTTCAAAATTTATAAAATGAATATCAAATTTTAGATTTTATTATAAAATAACATTGAATGTTAGATTTTGTTACAGGATTATAAATTTAACAAAAGCTAAAGAATTCTCCCCCAACCAAGCGACTTTGATAGTAAAGAAATTATTATTATTTCTTGTGATCCTCGGGTTCAATCAAAATGAATGTTAGGATATGAACGTTTAATGTCAAATGATTAAAAGTTATCTCTGAAGAAATATTGTCTTGTACTCATCCCAATTAAAAAAAACTAATGAATTCTAAAAAAACACTATAATTTTTTAAAAGTATAATCTGTATTATTCAAAAAAAATTACTTTAAAATAATTTAGTGACATTTTTAAAGCTACTCAAATTGTTTAATATGCTAGCAGAGGTTTAATCCAATGGTATTGAGGTTAAAAAAGGTTTCATTTTTGTTCTTTTGAATGGTAAATAATTGGATATGGGGAATTCACAGCCTTCATTGATAACCTCAGCAAACGAATTTCTTGAAGAACGTTATGAGAGCTTTTCAGCCATTATGGGAAGGTGTCCAGAGGTCAATCGTCGCCCAAAATACAAAATGTCAACGTTTGCGTTCGACCCCATTCCGATCCCTGAAAGACTTGGATTATGCTCTCAGCAAGCTCAATAACTCTATCATCGATGGCTATCATCAACGGTCATACGGTGGCAGTTTCCAGGGCTCGGTTCCCAGCTCCTACATGTCGATTTTCAAAGGCTGCTTTCCAACGAAGCCCAAGCAAAAGTTCCTAATGACCATACTAGGGATATTTCTAAGAGCTCGGATGAGCCGGCAGCCGCCCAGTGTAATATCAGAGATGCAAGGTCATATAAAGAGGTCTTGATATGCCACCCAAAGGATAAGTGTGGTGGCCAAAGTTTTAACTTCGTTGTATGCAACTTAATTGGTTGTTAAACAAGAATGGACAGTTTTGGGAGCAGGGCTCCAAGAAATATAATAATTCATGGCTACAAAAATAAAAAGGTGGATTTTACTTGACTCCGCATTGTCAATTAACTCTTGATTAACAAAGAGTTCAATGTTTGATATACAAGGAAATAGCAAATTAATAAGAACAAAAAGAATGCCTCTGGCTCTGGACTACCAAAATCACAATGACTATGCCAGAGGGGCGAAACCAATATACAACATAGCTCAACACAACAATACAAAACATACTAGATTATGAAGAAAGCTTCATGACTCTATGAAAATTTACAAGTCCCATTGTAGGTGTATATACCTCAAGGATCTGTATCTTTATATATATATATATATATATATATATATATATATATTCCCTTATACCCTACTGTTTATGATGATTCCAAGCAATTGTTCTGGACTTTCCTTGATATGGGATTTATCTAGGCTTGTTCTCGCTACCCTTGCTTCGGAATGATGATAGTGAAAAGAATGAAAGTGGTGCTGCAAAAGTATGCTCCAGTTTAAGTATGTCATTACAAGTATATACCATGAATTCAACATGTGTCAAGGAACAAATCAAAAGCATCTTCCAGATATGCAGAACAGATTGTTCAATATGTTAGCAGAGGCTTAATCCAACGGTATTGACGTTCAAAAAGGTTTTGATATAACTATATAAATAGTGTTAGCTTCATTTCATATGAGCTTTTCGGGAAATAGATTCACAGCGACAACAAGAGGGTTGGCAATTGTTCGACATTAATTACTTCCAAGAAAGAAATATCGGACAACTAGATTAACATTGATAAGGTGTCACCTTTTATGGAGCTTCCTGACATATGATCGTCTCTTATTCTGAAGTCCGCAGGTGCTGCTGGAATGGAGGTACATAAGGATTGAACTGCAAGGTACCATTAATGATTCTACTTTATTGGGTTCGTATATGCAACAAAGAAACAGGGAAATAGCAACAAGGAAAAGAAACAAGCACCATCAAGCTATACTATATAAGTAGAAAATCCGGAGCAATTTTGAGTCAAACTCAATTTTGATAAAAGTAACTTCTACAATTTGATTTCATAATAAGTTAAAACAATTGTGCGTTCATCAATTCGACACTTTCCTACAGTTGAAGAGGGTATAAAAACATAAACTATAGCTTTACAAGAAAGGGAAGATATTCTATAAAAGTAGAAAGTCTGAAGTGATCTTTTATTAGAATAATAATTATGGAAACATGCATGCAATCAATGGATATTCAAAATACTTAACAGATAAAGTAAAATTATGAATACGTTAAGTAGAACAAGGTAACTACCGTATAAGAGAAAAATGGGAATTACCTTGATCATTGAACAATTCACCTTCATTGAAGACATCATCGGAAGGGTGACCCTGAGGAAATCCCATTTTTGATTTCCTCAAGTCTTCAGATGATCGACTGGCAAGATCTCTGCCATCCTCTGTGTCATCATCTCCTTCAGAAGTTGTAGCAGATATCCAATCCACCAAGCTGTCTGTCCCACGGCTTTTTCGTCCAAATTTCAACAACCTTTTGAACCCTTTTGTCACATCCTTACGTGGCTGATTATTGGTTGAATTAGCAACAAGAAATGGTTTCTGGGCACTTCCCCATTTCTTCCTCATTCGAGCAGCATCCACTCCTGTTTGAGCAAGTGAGTGAGAATTCCCAGATGCAGGGCTCCCAATCGGGGAATCCATGGAGGCATCAATATCTGAAGTCTCATGGGGATAAGAATACAGATGGCGCATGCGAGAATTCCAGGACACAGGATTTTCTCCAGGTGACTTCTGCAAGAACACTGCACTATGGAATGTAGTGAGCACTGCAGCGGGCAGTTCAGCAACAGATTTAGGGTTCACCTGAGAAAGAGACCTGATGGAATCACCATTCTCGGATCCAGAGTTATCCAGTTTGTCAGATGCCTGGCTCAGTCTTGATCTTCCATTTTCCATGATGGCAGAATCAACAGCCATAGTTTCAAGCTCATCCTCCTCATCTTCTTTGGTTATATCCATTGAATCATCCGCTTCAAATGCTAGTTCATTAGACTCTTCACCATTTGGAATCTCAGATGCCTCTGTTGCTCTGAAGTTTTCAAAATGAACTCCAGCACCAGGACCTATACCATTACCTTTCCATAGGAAAGGCTTTGCTTCCACATTCTTAAAGGATTTTTCATTGAAGCTCTGCCAGGTCTGTTCTTTATCAAATTTCTTAGGTTCCAAAGCAACATCAACAGAATTCAAGTCAGGCACATCTGAAAATTCCAAATGACCAGCAGAGCTTTTCCTATTGGACTGAGACCGTCGAGACTGTTCATCCTTGCCAAGTGATATCTCTTCATTGTTACTCTTGCTCGGAGCATATTTTCTCACTTGTATATGGCTGTTCATCTTTCCAGCTCCAGAAGTGGGCTTTGTATTTTCTTTTCTGAGATCAGAGAAGTTGGGAACTGATTGTGCAAGAGGATTTTCAGGTTGCGTTCTTTGTCTTCCAGAACAGGAATTTGAAACTTTGGCTGCTGAACGTGGAACTGTAACTGCTGGGGTGCGAGGAGTGGATAAAGACACATTTCTATTAGGCAAAACCTTCTTAGAGTTGGAGCTCCTAGAAGAATCATCGAATAAAGACGCCTCATTATATGATCTATCCTGGCCATAGTACTGATGATCAGGAAACTCAGAAAGATCTTCATCTTCTTCGCTCTGGATTGAACTTATTGGATGCTGCCAAATGCATAACCTTATCAAAATTAGTAACAAATATTCAATCAAAAGTTTTTTCTGATTTTCAAAACTTAAAAAGAAAGTTCCATCTACAAGTTATGAATTTTAGCATTTATTTCCCGAAAACATAACTGCAACAGGAGATACCTGCAATTGTAGATTGAATGACCTCCCTTTCTCGGCTTGTCGACGAGCACTAGAAATAGAAGCCTGTCTATCAGAACCAGAAAACTTGGCCTTCATCTCAGTTCTGTTTTGCTCAAGGATATCCTGCATAGCCTTCAATTTGGCTTCCTTCTCATCCCTTTTAGAACTCCATTCTTCCCTCAGCTTTGCATCTCTCTTTTGCATATACCTTTCATAAAATTTTCCTCTAGAATCAACTGAAAAGCTGACACTATAGAAATTCCGCCTCAAACCATCAGCGTAGTCCTCGTTATCGATCATCTTTGTAGGAGTACAAAATTTAGCAATATTACCCATACTCTCCATCGGTTCAGATATCGAGTTTTTGTCAGTCATCTGTGCAGGAGATGAATCTAAGGCCACAGACTTCTTGTACTGTGAGCTTCCCCCTTGTTCAATCTGCTCGTCAGAAGGCTTGCTTCTCCTTGCAGAACTGAATTGATCACCAGGAGCCCGAAGTTTGTGCTCTGCAAAAAGCTTTTCGAGTTCATTTGCCTTCATTTTTAACTCATCATTCAGCTCCTGATTTACCCTAATCTGCCTTAACCTCGGAGTTTGATCTACTAAAACCACTGGGGCACTTAACCTCTCTTCACTCTCAGGAACCTTTCTACCAGGAACAGACTTGTTATTTGCACTACCCTGCGACTTCTTGCTTGGTTCAGAACCTACTGGAGCATGTTTCTTGAACTTAATTTTATGTACTCCAGAATCCTCAATTTTGCTCATTTGCTTCTCAGATGATGCCAAGTCTTCCATTCCCACTTCCTCAACTTCCCCAACTTCCCCATTAAAAGATTTCCACTGTGGCTGAGTGAACTGATAACCTTCACTGCCTTTATACTGACCCTCCTTCATTTTTAGTCCAATACCACCTTCAAACTGCCCCAAAAATGTTTGGGAGTGGACTGGAGCCCTAAGACGCACTTGTGCTGCTGATTCGTCTTTACCTTGAACCTCCATTCTATTCTTTAACCCCTCAGGTGTGGCATCCCCCACTCCAACCAGCAAATGATTAGTAGGTTGGTTTATAAACCCATCAATCACAGCTTTATTAGGAAAAACTCCAGACTGCACCTCCAAACCTCCCCTCTCACCTGTTATGGGACCACTAACCTTCTCTTGAGAAACTACTTGATCACCCAACTCACCCTGTTCAGACTTACCTGTAAAAGACTGATATTGGATGTTCTGTGATCCCAATTGATCCTTCTGACTTATCCACCCCTTCAACCCCACACCCTCTTCTTTCTCTGAAAGGCTACTGACCTGTGATTGCACTTCTCCCTGATCTTTCAACCCAGAATCATCAGCTTTATTAGGAGCATTCCTAGGTTTAACTTCAATTGAACTAGCCTTGTCGGTCAAACCCTTCATGTCTTTTTGTTCCTTATCATCGGATAAACCTTGATACACTAAAGATGAGGAGGATGCGCTCAGAGGGCTATCAGTGTTACCATCCTTCTTATCATTACCCAAGTCGATGCTCATGTCACTTGCACCACTCCATCTTCTTAGCACCGCCTTTTCAGCAACTGCTGGCACAGACGAAACATCAGATGAACGTCTTCTCAGTTCAACAGATTTGCCAACAGCGATGGGTTTGCCTCCAGAACATGAGGTGTCCTTCTGTTTGTTCTCAAAGAGGTTGATTCTGTCCTGCACGCTAAGCCGCCTAGACGGTTGACTGATTTGACTAGGTGATGACTCAATCACCCCTTCCTCTTTCTTCTCTTCTTCCTTGTTTTCAAATAGGGAACGCTGTTGTGAGGTACTAGGAGGCTTTGGTTGTTGAGATGTGGCTAGTTTTGATTGATCGATATGGTGTTGGGTCTGCATAGTGTTTGGTTGTATCAGTTCTTGGTACTTATTTTGGCAAGGTTGGTGGAGCCTGCTATTGACATGGGACACATTTTGATCTTCATTGGGGTCATCGATTGACATGTCAGATCCCCACGAGGCTCGAACCACCTGATCATTAACACCTGGCTGAATCAGTTCTGGTCTTCTCTGGCACAATGATATGAAATTGGTGCAAGCCTCACTGCACAAGTATTAAAATTATTCACATGAGAATTATTATTACCAAAAAAAGAAAAGATACTGACATATGTAGCTAAGTTCCAATGCCTAGTTTGTCATTAACAATAAGGAAAATAGGACAAACTTAATAGCTAAATATCAGACAGCTTGTGAAGATATTGAGAGAAACTTGGCCAGCCCTTTTTACCATGAGGGGCCCTATACAAGAGTGCCATCTTTTAACAATTCAATCACTTTCGGTCCTTTACCCAAGTAGGGTTTTCACAAAATAATCCACTTGTGCAGGGAACTCAATGCTCTCAAACACAGTATTCAAAAGAAAACAAATAATCAAGAGAAATTTGACTAATTTTACAGTGGAAATCATTATCTGTTGGCAATAAAACATGACTACTATTTGGACCTTCCATGCCCAACAAACTGAAGACAATCATCTTTAAATTAATCCTATATGTGAGAATCTCCTACTTAGACCAGCTGAAAAAATAAAGATAATAATAATAATAATACAAAAAAGATATCATTTTAGGACACCAAAATAGGTTCAAGGTTACCTTCAACTAAGAACAAGGTAATATTTCATTTTCAAAATAGCTTGGCAGTTAGATGATGCTTTAACTAGATACTATTTCATTTTCACGTAACTTTTCAACCTCTAAACTACTAATAGCATAGCTAGCCCCACAACAAGGAGAGTAAAACTAAGCTACCATGAAAAACATAAAATAAAAATGAAAACCTTAACAGATTGAATCTATCATGGTTGATGCTTAAAACACGTATCAACTCAGATTTAGCAGTGAAATGGTACAAGAGAAGGAAAATTTGAACCGACATTTAATTCTACATCAAGCAGCTCATTTTCGCTCCTATTCAGAACACGGACAGAAGGCTCATGCTGTGTGTAATTTCAATACTTGAATGGAAAATGTATGAACACCATTAAATCCTTTACACTATGTTTCAAAGGAACTGAAAAAAATTGTTTGATCTAATGGCAAGGATTGTCCACCTCATTTCTTATATTTCAGGCTAGTCAATAGATAACACAGTTTCCCATCTACTTTTCCTTCTTAATGACCAAAATCCAGCAGATAACACAAAGGCACTAAAAAATTGAGCAAACCAAAAGAAACATTGTCCCATCTCACATTGTTCTCATGCCAGACTTGAAAAATCAAGAATCAGTTTCCCAGTTCAACTTTAGTGATATGCAGTACAAACTAGCAAATGATGGCATTTACCCTAAAGGACATAGCGGCATGAAGACAAGAGTCTCACCCTATCTAAGAGCCAATAAACTATAGGTACCCTAGGTAACATGAAAATAGCATACTCGAGAGGCAGACAAATATAAGCACAGGATCTCACTGAAAAGGATTTCTAGAGTACTTACTTCAAGCAATGAGCACCAAACTGATCTGCAAATTGTTGGAGTTCGAATAAAGTGTCAGGATTAAAACCAGCTGCAGATGAATGAGCAAAAGCTGTTGCCAAATCCTGCTGAACTGCAATAAGGCGTACATCAATAGCCCTTAAAAGCTCCTTCCTGTGTAAATAGGAAATACAACCACCAAATCAGAAAGCAATGGTGATGAAGCCAATGAAATATCCAATTGTAGCAATATAAGCTGCTTTTGTATGAAATATTTTTGGACAATCCAAGCAACTCTATTTCCACAAGTAACAAATGCAATAACACATGTAATATCAAATACTGTTTACTTTCGGCACAGATAAAATTCATTGATTGTTGGAGGAACTAATCCCTTGATTCCTCTCCATGCCTAAAGCAGGGGAAATCTGGTAGCAGGCATAAAGTTTCAACAGAAATCAACCTACCAGGTTCAAAAGAATGTACATGCAGCAGTATATGATGTCAAAATCATCCAAAGTTTAAATTAATCAAAATTTAGCCAAAAAATAATGCCATCACAGATCCGAAAAAATCTAAAATGACAAACAGAATTACTTTGTCGCATCAGCAGCAGCTATCATTCCTGCATTGTCCCCACCTGTCACAAATTATCCAAAAACTCAGTCAGTTTTAAACAATGACTTGCGACAGCGATACAACCCTATCTAACAAGATCTCATGCATGAGATTTTACCTAACCAAAAAATGCATTAGTATTTATGAACAAACAAATAAATAAACTTAATATTCAGCGGCTGAACTCAGTAACTCACCCTCATTTATTGTGGGGGGTGGGATTTAAAAAAAATCTGAAGTTATGAGGACCAAGCATATATATTCTAAAGAATTTTTTAATATTTTGTAGGGAAGGCCCCCCCTACCGGTCCTTTAATAGTTCCGCTACTGTGAATATTGTATAGATGTAAAAAACCAATAATTTTTCTGCATCCACATGGTTAATGCATTTGGTGATATGATACACTTTAAACTTGTCCACAATTTAATAACTTTCCTTGATTTGCTTAAAAAAGAATACAAAGAAGGGAGTCACAAATACAAACAGCTTGATTCTACATTGAAAACAGAAAAGAGCAATGAAACTATTAAAAGGAAACCATTTATGATGTAAAGAAAAAAAAAAACTCACCTAATGCACCAGGAGGCTGCTCTCCCACCCCCTGAAACATAAGGGTTCCCAGATTCAGTATATTATAAAGTAAATTGCACCAAAATAACAAAGCAAACCTTCTCCTATATATTATAGATAAAGGGCATTAATACCTGAGAATATATTCTTCGAGCTGCTTCCAACTGAGACATCTCTGCATCCAACGTGTTCACCAACTCCAACACCTCCGGTTCGAGCTGCTTCCAACTGAGACATCTCTGCATCCAACGTGTTCACCAACTCCAACACCTCCGGTGTACTAACAAACCGCACAAACCTGGAAACAAGTGCCAATCATATCAAAATTCAAAGCCAAAAATCCTCATATGAATTGACAAGAAAAGCTACAGTCGTAGAACATCTCTAACCTCTCGATTGTTCCTTTTGTGAACCAAGTCTTGGCATTTTTATGTTTTTCAACTTCAAGCTTAATTGATTGAAGTGACAGTGCAACCTGTTCTTCTGCCACCTTTAAATGAGTAACAAAAGGCTTTACTAACCCAGAAGCAAGCTTTTCTGTGTTTCCATTGCTTGAAACAAACAATTCACATCTGCCCATAGAGAGAAACATAGCATAGTTCTAAATAAGAATAAAATTAGGAAAAATATACAAAGTCAAGATCAATTTCCTCACCTTGAACGCTTTGGTGACAATTGGAATACCGCATAATCAATAAGCCTATCAGATTTCATCTTTTCTCGATCAAAATTCCCAAGTCTAACACTTCATATAGGCAAATATACTTCTGCGGACAAGAAGTAGCCAATGAGTTATAAATAACAGAAATTCAATTTGTAAGACTTCAAAGCACAAAGCAACAGTGCAGATTCTGGAGTAGAAAAACATAAAAAATAAAAAAAATATGAATACCATAAATCCTTAAAAATGCTAAATAAGATCATATTATCTAATAATTTCAGTTACATTTAAAATTTGAACTTATTAACCCTACATGTGCAAATCAAGCAACGAAACCAATACCTTAATGATTAAAGTTTGAAATGAAAAACATACATTTACACTAACTACAAAATTGGAGTAAAGATAGTTAAAAACCCCGAAAAACTTCAAGGAAAGAAACATACGGACTAATTTTAGATCAAAACTTAGCAAAAAATAAATAATGAATCTCAATCCAGAAACTCAGATGAAAACCAGAAATGCACCTGGGAAAACATAAACTCTTGAGGCCAATAGAGAAATCCATTCTTCACAAATATAAATCATCAGATATGACCCAGATCTGATTCCACCTAAAAAGCTCCAACTTTAAGTACAAAATAAAATGCAACATATTGCCCAAAAACCCAAGTTAAAAAAATTCCAAATGCAGGCACAAAGAAAATCAAAACAAAAACCACCCACTTAGACAAAAACATAAACTGCGGACAAATTGCATGGTAAAAATGAAAAACTCAAGAAATAACTAAACTTCATGTGAAGTGAGAAAGGGAGTGTTGGATCGGTTGATAAACAAAGAGTTACCTTTTACAAGGAGAAAGGAAGATAGACGGTGAGATCTTGGAGTAGTAATCGGATCCCAAGAATCAAGACTCAAATGGGTACCAGCATTTGGAGTTTTTTCTTTTTACTTAATGTTGAAGTTCTAAATTAGGGAAGCTAAAGAATTCAACTTTAAGGGTGTCTAGATTATTTATTTAAGTTTGAAGAACAACCAAAGAAGGACAAGGATGGTTTTTGCTTTACTCATTTCTCAAATGGCAATCTTTCCTTTCTTTTTTCTATGGCGACTTTGCTGTCTCTAAGATACAGTAGAGATAGAGAGAGAGACTGCTTTGTTTCGGACAAGTTTTTGAGATTTTGAAACATTAATGATTTCTTTGATAAAATGTTTCTATATTTACAATAAAGGGCTTCGTTTTCTGTCATACCAAATTACAATATTCTCCTCCTAATGTTAGCGGGTTCATTATTTGAATTTTCTGGTTTACGATTAACGATATCTGAATTCTCTTTGTTTTTCTTTTTAAATAATTAGATTAGATCTAAAATATAAATTGTAAAAGATACCCAAAAGAGACCATTTATCCATATATAATTGTTTGTTAATACAGTTATAGATTCTACACTGATTTTATTTAAATAAAAGTATATTTAAAATATAATTTGAAATTTTTTTCTTTTTTTATTTTCAATTTTTAGGAGTACCAAGTACAGTCGAGATGCTGAAGTGCAATAAGCCTCCATACTATACCTTCTCGAAGGTGATGAAGGATATAATTGTCCAGAACAAAGGGGAAAGGGTGATTGATTGGATGGACCACTATAAAGGGCATCCACTGAGGGGATATTTGAGTCATTCAACATAATTAAGCTGTGGTCAACTGCCCGTAATATCAAATTTATGAACTGAGAGACGGGTGCTTGAGTTTGAGTAAAATCCTTAACGGTTATTTCAAAAATTATTAAAACTTTTTAAAGTGAGACTGAAATGGACGTCTCACGTATCGTGAGGTTCAAGCACTGACCGACTCCACCGGGTTTTCTCTCAAAATAAATGAATAATATATATATATATATATATATATATATATATATGGAGCGTTAGATTATGTTACGCACGTTTATAATTATTTAAATAGTAAAAAGTTTGATATCCTATAAGATCTCATATTTGAATTATTGTGTATGTATAAAATTTTCATTAAAAAATTCATCCACCAAAGTCAAATGTATGATCCGAGACGATCTAGATTAGTCCGGGTTTGGATCTGAAGGACATTCACACAAAAATTATAATTTTTATATATTTATTTTTAAAGAAATTTAGATAATGTTTGGCTTTAGAAAATATTTTCTATTTTTATTTTCTGTTTTTCTTTTGGAAAATAGTTTTTATTTTTAATTTTTTGAAAATTAGAAAAAATGTTTAGTTAATATAAATGAAAACCTAAATTCAAAAATAAAAATTGTGAAAATATATTTGGTATCTAATTTTTTAAAATAGAAATGAAAAATAGTTATTAAATAATTAAATCAAAATATAATTATTAAAATTTTTCTTTACATAAATTTTACATGGATTTATGCAAAAACAATAAAATTGATAAGAAATTTCGTAACAAAAAAATCTATTTAATTTTTTGATCAACTGAATCAAATTGTCAAAACGATTACATGAAAATTCACAAAGTTTACATGATAATCTACTATATTGATGTGCATAAGGACTATTGTCACTCTTCCATAGGGAGCAATCTCACAACCGAATCTATGGCCTCAGAGTGAGTTGATCGGGTCCGAAAGTTACATATCTTTTTTATGCAGATAATTGCTTGCTATTTTTATGCAACACAGAGGTTGAATTTACCTGAGTTTGCGATGATATTGCTTTATTTGAACCTTTCGGGACAAAAAGTAAATTTGGCAAAGTCAAGTATTTATTTTGCTCCTTCTACGCCGATGTTGTTACAATACAATCTTAGCTCTATTATGGGGATTTCATCTGTTTAGAAACCGGGTATGTAACTTGGAATGTCTCTTCTTATTGGTTGAAACAAATCTCAAGTGTTTGTATTTCTTCGTGATAAAGTGGCCTCAAGAGTTAGAGAATGGACGAACATAAAAGCAAAATAGATTTTTAGCGATGTTTTTACTTTGTTTGTGACGCAAAAAAGGTTATGTTTTTAGCGGCATTTTTTCCAAACGCCGCTATTTATCTTTTCTTTTGTGGCATTTTGTCCCAAAAATGCCGCTAGATGTTCTGACATATAGTGACATTTGTTCCAAAAAAATCGCTAAATGTTATGTCATATAGTGGTATTTGTGGATGCAAAACCCCGCTATTGACTACGTATATAATGCCATTTCTTGTATAAACGCCGTAAAAGATCTAGAACTTTAGTGGCGTTTTTCAAAAACGCCGGTATTGACTATGTATTTAGTGTTTTTTTATACAAACGCCGCAAATTAAAACTAATTTTTCAAATATTGTTTTTTATTCTTTTGTTACCCAAATTTAACCTGTAGCATTATCCAATAAACTTGACATTTATAACAACAAATTTGAAATCCATAATAAGAAACTTGAAATTCATAATAATAAATCAAAGTTTACATTAACGTAAAATATAATATAGTTCAACATTGTTAACTAAAATAAACAATAATAACACCTAAGATGGTGGACTATGGGGTTGATTTTGTCGTATTATATGCATTATAGCTTGAAGTTGATTTTGAAAGTCTTTATATTTTTTCTGATATGCTGCTTTCCTTGCTTCAATTTATAGTGGATGAATTAATAAAAATCTAGTAGGTAAAAACAAATCTTCAATGAAAAAATCTAAATTATATAATACTTTTAAATTTTTAATGAGGACCCCATCCGTACCTTCTGTCCATCTTTACTCTTACCATAAAATTATGCATACATAACGTTGGTAGCCTTTTTCCTCCACACCTGTCTCCTCTGTATGTGCGCCTATAATATCAAGATTCACGATGTGGTTGGTATGCATGTACATAAACATGCCATCATGTGACATTCATGCAGCAGAGTAGCCGACGTGACTAGAAGCAGACTCCATCAAAGAGTAGATTGAAGAGGGGGAAAAAGACATTTTTGATACCTGCTTGTGGATTTTTCCAAGACATGGGAAAGGGAGGAGAAGAGATGAACAAGAAAATAACGTGATTAAAGCCAAAGAAGGATTCATTCTGCAACTGTGACTGAAAATTTCGAAAATTTCATGCTCTAATGAATGACGCATCAAAATTTGGGTAATTTATGAACGATAACATTGGATTGGACAATGGAAAAAACAAAAGATTATACCATTTGAATGGCTGCCAAAGATGACAGTACCACCTCCATTCATCTCAGCTCGTCGAATCGCGACAACACTCGCAAATTCTATTGGATTGGACAATGGAAAAAACAAAAGATTATACCATTTGAATGGCTGCCAAAGATGACAGTACCACCTCCATTCATCTCAGCTCGTCGAATCGCGACAACACTCGCAAATTCTATGTAGGGATACATTTTTCCTTGCATGAAAATGCAGCAACACAAACACAAGAATTCTATATGTAACTGCCATGAGGAACAATACCAGTAAATTCTCCCACTTGGAGTTACTGCTAGGAGAGATATCGTAAGCACTAAGGAGTGCTTGAAAACCCGATATGGTCCTCACCTGTCCAATGTCAAAATTCACTCCTAGATACTCGTTCTCCAAAAGTCCCTATGGCAGAAACATAGGTCACATGTTTTAAAGATTCTTTTAGAAATGATAAGATTGCCTAGAATGGATTCTCTGATGCGTACGAAATCCGAGTACGAGCAAATGTATTTTGATGTAAAGAAAATAACAAGAAGCTATGAACACGCACACACCTGGATAGAGTAGGTGTGGAAAGCTATGTATGACAACGAATATGTCCACACGATTCCAGGCAACTCATTTCGGATTCTGAAATATCCCGACGCAAGCATTTGTAACACCTGAAACATGGTGCATTTTGATCACAAAATTAGCAGAGCACAGGCTTAGTAGTAAAAGCTCAAGACTGGAAATGAAAATATTTATTAATTGTCTTTCAAATAGTAAAAACTCACATGTATGGTTACAAGAGTTAACACTCCGGAAAATATTTTTCCACAAAGAAGCAACATCCAGCATCAATCCTTCATTTACTAAGAGGCACATAAAGAAATTCAGCACAAAGTACATCAACAAACCGAATTCATATCGCAATCCTATAAAGAAATAGAAGACGAGACTTTATGATATTAAGATGAGGAATAGGAAGGGAATGCTTGAGAGTAGTTTCCTAAACAGAAAGACTAAAGCTCCTGAATGTTGGTTTAACTCCTCACTTACATATATCTGTAAAAAAAAAAGATCACACAATTTCAGCACGAAAGAACAAAGGAAAAAAGGAAAGCAATCGATCATGCAACTTCAGAAATTGGTTAGGAACTCAAACTTTTTGGTTAAGTTAGTAGATGGGGTAGTCCAATTAGAGAGCTCCTTTAGAGGCAAGATGCGGCGGCTTCCATTAGGTTACCATCTTGGCCAAGAACTTCAAATAGTCATTATATTCAAGCCAAAAAAGACAATGTAATAAAGAGAATGATCACCTTGATTTCTTTCATTATCACAGGTACCCCAGCGATGCTTAAAAGTGAAGTAAATGATATAAATACAAAAATTGCAGCGACTCTCGTCTGCAATAAGAAGAGATAAAAGTGAGAAATACACCCATGTTTCATATGTGAATCAGTTACTCTTTTCATATAATAATAATGAGTGAAACAATTTCATAACACAAATCCAAAATGTCAAACTTTAAAAGCGTGATAGAGTAAGCAATCATGCATTCATCAAAGAGGAAGGACACGAATCAACATGATGAACTATTGCATATCAAAAACTACGTTTTCTATTTGCTTATCACAAAAGGTTCCTACTCTAATTTGCTACAAACATGCCCATCCAATGCATCTCTACTACATATAAGAAGGTTCAAAATCTGATATTTCGTATTTAAATTCGATATCAGCAATGAACTAATATAAGAAGGTTCAAAATTTTTAAAATCAGAAAATAAAAAACATTGGAGCAGCTCAAATCCAGGACCAAATATATAAAAAAAAATCTAAGAGAATCCATTAAAAAGCTTTTGTAAACAATAACATGTTTTTTAAAATTATATATAACAGAAATTTCAAAAAAAAATCTAAAAATGGAGGAACTCAAGAAACGAAATGCATAATTCTGTATAAAAAATTGGTTAGTGGTTCAAAAAACTGCTTCGAACCCAGTAAAGAAAAGCCAAAACTACTTGTGAAAACAATAAAGATTCAAACTTTTTAGCCAAAACAGACACGTTGTTCCAAAATCTCAGATTTTAAAACCCTAATTCACATATCAAAAACAATCCCACTTACAGATTTCATGCCTTGTTTGATCTGAGCTAAACCATGAAGACAAACAAGTAGGGGTGTTCATTCGGTTAATTCGGTGGCCGAACCGACCGAACTACCATTAACCGAATTAATCGAACTTTTTTTTTCTTTAACCGTTAACCGAACCGAACTTTTTTTCGAAAATTTTAACTGAACCGAATAAATTTCGGTTAATTCAGTTAATTTTCGAATTAACCGAAATGTTTTAAAATTTTCGAATTTAATATTTTTTTAATTAAAAGTAATGAAATTTTAAGCCTCTTTTTTTATAAGAAAAAGTAATGAAACTTATTCAACGAACACATTAGCAAAATAATGAAACAAATCTTTAAGCTTATGAATGACTTCGAGAAGTTGTGCCATATCAGATCATGTGTTGCATATAAAAGCTGAGGAAAGTATTAATAACCTTTTACCAGAGAAAGGTGGAAAAAAACAGGGTAAAAAGGATATATATATCAAGAGTTACTTGCATGACTGATCACAAGAGATGCAGATTTCAAATGTTCCACAATGCTTGAAGAAAATGTGAAGTAGTCTACAGCCAAAGATCCATCATCACCAGTAGACTACAATAAAAAAATAACCTTAGGAAAATCACAAGAATCAGAACAAAAGGAATAAATATAAAAATAGTCTTGGGTTTGATATTTACATGTGATCATAAATATAAAAATAGTTGAAGAAGAGAATAGCCATCGATTTGTACAAAAGGAAACCAACTTTCCTTTTGCTTTCTTCTAATCAAATTCCAACTCAGCTATGAGGCGAACAAGAAGACTGCATGGCTTCTACCGATGCTCTGCAAATGGCTGAAAGTTCCTATGCTGTGAAACGCGTGCTCCACCTGCCCATGCTTGTGCCATACCTTACACAAATCAAGGCATAAAATAATTGGTAACCGAGTAGCAGCCTAGCAGGAAGTGGGGGGACGCATATAGGGTGAAAAAATAATAAAAAATATTTAAGGGTTAATTCGGTTAATTAACCGATTTCGAACCGAATTAACCGTTAACCGAAATCTAAAAAAATTTACCGTTAATCAACCGAACTAATTCGGTGGCCGACCGAATTAACTGAACTAATTCGGTTCAGTCGGTTAACCGAATTAGTTCAAAATTTTGAACATCCCTACAAACAAGAGGGGTTTTAGAATGAGAAAACAAAGAGAGTTTGTAGCAGAAGGGTTTGGGTAAATGGCGGGAATGAAAAAATAAGTGAAGGGGAAAAATGAAAAAGGATTGAAGGGGTGCGGGATTTAGAAACTGTAAACTTGCTTTAGCGGCGTTTGTATGAAAACGTCACTAAAGTATGAGTCTATAGCGTGTTTATATAAAAACGCCACTAAAATACGAATCTTTAGCGACGTTTGTATACAAACGCAACTAGTGTATTGATAAATTATGGAGTTTATTCAAAAAATACCATTACAGTATGAATCTCTTATGGCGTTCTTTCAAAAATGCCATTATATATGTGTCCTCTTATGGCGTTTGTATAAAAACGCCACTAAAGTACGAGTCTATAGTGGCGTTTATAATTTAACACCACTAAAGTACAGTCTTGGCGTTTATATAAAAACACCACTAAAATACAAGTATTTAGTTGCGTTTTTGCTTAAAACGACACGAAAATTTGTTATTTTGTGGCGTTTGTTAAAAAATCGCCGCTATAAACCTATTTTGCGGAAGAATTTGATTTTTTTTGGGGGGGGGTCGTCCAGTTAATATTAAAGCTGTGGGCTAGACTTTGTCAACATATGTCATGGGCTTCCGGATGGTGCGTTAACGGATATTACAGCCTGTCTTCACACGTATTGGTGGACGGGCGACTCTAATTCTCGGGGATGGCCACTAGTGGCTTGGCAAACTCTTTGTCGCCCGAAGAGATTGGGGGGGGGGGGGCTTGGCTTCCATGTTCTTCGAATTTTCAATCTGGCAATGCTTGGCAAGCAATTGTGGCGGGTACTCCAGCAGCCACAGAGTCTTGTGGCTCGTGTTTATAAGGCGAAATACTTCCCATCTTGTGATATTTTACAGGCCTCTCTTGGGGATCACCCCTCGTTCGCGTGGAGGAGTTTATTGCATGTCATCAATGCACTACGGTATGGGTTTCATTGGCGGCTTGGAATAAATAGTGTCGTTCCCATGCACGGTGCCCGTTGGGGTGGTGTTTTTCCGGTACAGTTTGAGACCAATTATATGGATAATACCGCCCAGCCGGTGTTATGTGGGGACTTTATGATTCTGGATGCTCTTTCTTGGAATGGCCCGCTCGTTCAACAAGTCTTTACGGCTGCTGATGCGGAAGCGATACTTCAATGTGTTATCTCCCCCATCCATTCCAATGTAATTGTTTGGAGTGTCCATTCCTCAGGTACATATTCCGTCCGTTCGGGATATCGATGGCTTCTTCGGCGACAAACATCAACAATTCATGTTTCCAAGCTTTGACTATTCTTCCCGCGCTTGTACACACTTCCTCAGATTCGTATGTTTGGCTGGCGCGCTGCTCATGAGGCTCTTCCAGTTGGATGTCGACTCGCCCATGTTGATGCTTCGAAAGTCAGCTGCTGCTTATGCGGTTATCCGGATGAAACGGTCACCCATGCTCTGCGGGATTGCTCGATGGTCTCTCCAATCCTGGCAGCAGCTGGTTACGATTGCCGGTCGGACACAAGGAGTTTCTCTTCCTTTGGTGCTTGGTTAGAGAATATGATACTCAACTTGACGGTCCAACGATTCGTTTCACTATTGGTTTTGCTGTGGAAGATTTGGCACGGTCGGAATTTATATTTTCATGAAGGACGCTTATTACCTGGGTGGCAGTTAATCGCTTCGGCCGATGCTCTTCAGTCGGCTTTTTCAGCTGCGATGGTAGCGTCTTCTTCTTTGTCATCACCGTTGCATTCGGAACTCTCTTTTCAAAGATGGCAGAAACCACCGGTTGGTACCTTTAAAATTAACGTAGATGGGGCTTGTCCCCGTTTCCCAGCATCTACATCTATCGGAGTTCTTGTTCGGGACAGCGCTGGATTAGTCGTGGCGGGTGAAGCTTTACCAGTTGAGGCGACACGTTCGGCTGGAGTTGTTGAAGCTTTGGCGCTTTGGCAATGGACTTAGAGCTTCCCTCGGTGGTGCTCAAAAGTGATTCCATGAGTGTTGTGCAGCAACTACAGGATCCGGTAAATGACCGATCTACTATTCGGTTCTACCTGCTTGAAGCACGACAGCTGTTGGATGCTAACCCCAACATCTCTTGTCGATTTATTCGGCGCGAAGCAAATGGGGCCGCGCACGCTATAGCAAATTATGCAGCTTCATCGATTATGCCTATTTCCTTTTCCTCTGTAATTCCAAACTGGTTATATGTTGTTGTTTGTGCTGATTTAACGTTTGCTTAATGAATGGTTAACTTCAAAAAAAAATATCACATCATGAATCTGCCCAATACGGGTACAATTAAACAGAGTACAACAATGTTGACTTAGATTGCGAGTATGTTTATCCTGTAAAAATGAATTGAGTGATACTGATGATAGTTTAAACCGCAAGAATGGCTTTGGGTACGTAGGCAGCCCACGGTGTCTGATCCATAACTTGGCGGGCGCTAGCTTTTCTGGCTCTCGGGGGTTGTTTGCCTCTACATAAAACACGGAGACAAAACATTAGTTAATTCACTGTGAAAATGTGACTCTTTATCAACTTTGATTCAAGTAGTAAGTAGTTTGATATCCTTATCTTTTAAGTTAAGTGTGAGACTTGAGTTTATCCGAATTATTCAACACAAAACTTTGATAACCGGGAGGCAAAAAAAAGTATCCCCTTGCTTTTTTAATCAGGGCAGTTACTACCGTATTAGCATCAGTCGCATTGAAGCGTTGTCTTTTTAGTGTAATAAAGATGAAATTACATGATTTACACACCATGGTGGAAGAAAACCAAATTTTCACTGCAGATTCGTATGGCTACTAAAATAACATAAAATTCAAGTCCATATCTGCCAACAATACTGGTAAAAGAAGCAGCCTCTAGAAAATTGCCTGTTAATGTTGGCATATACTTACATATAACTCATCAAAAGATTCTATTTATGAGCAAATCTTTTTCGAGATTTGGTTTTACGGGGGACCAAATAAATAAATAAATAAAAACCCAAGGACATGGACTTGTCCTAAATGGGCAAAACTTTCCTCACCAATCGCCATAACCATCTACCCAATACTATAACAATTCTTCAATGCGAGCTTGATTCAAACCCCACTTGGGTGAAATTTTCAGCACAAAGCGGCATTCAATCCTTTTCAGTACAATTGGACTGTCACCAAAACTAGCTAGCTTTTGGCATAATTATTTATTTAGGGTTCCATGACACTGAAAGTAACATGCATGTTAACAATGAAAATGACAAAAGGAAAGAGTCAAGAAGATGGAATAAAAGCCAAATTAATTTTCATTTCTCAACCATTTTGGTTTGTAATTATATCAAACGGAAGACTAAAAAACAAGAAGAGAAGAAAGGTGTCTTCCCAGTGAAGTTGCAGTAATATCAAATGGGGTTAATCAATAATCCTCATCTTTCTCAAAAGAAACACACAAATCAACTTACTAAACTAAGATTTTACAACTTTTGACAAAAGCTTGAAAGCTTTGTTTTTTTTTCTGTTGGTTAACAAGTGTAGAAATCCACCAGCTCTTCCATGGACCCCAACTGAGCCCCGTCGTTCTCAAGCATCCAAAGCAAGTGTTCAAACAAAACAACCTCGCAACAAACCACAACTTCATGACCACCACCATTATTATCATTATCATCGACATCATCATCACCATCTTCATGATCATCATCATCCATACTACCAGCACTAGAGGAGCGATCGATCAGCTCTTGCAACAGTGGATGACAGATGACGTCGGAACCCACCAGGTACCTCCGCCGCGATTTCCCGACGTACACTGCGTGAAGACCCTTCGGAACCGGCTTGTCTTGGGATTCGGCAGCCGCTATAGAGCTGCTGCTACGGGTCAGCTTGGTTAAAGATGGCCATCTTTTTATTACAGACTTCAGCTTCGTTAGCTTCCCAAATTTTGCCATGGGCTCTACCTGTATCTTTGTTATTGGGTTTTCGGAGTGTAAAAAGAGAGGAGACTACTGAAGAAGAAGAAAAGGGTTTTCTTTGGTGAGGATTAGGGGGGGGTGAAGGTGGTTCGTATATAAAAGAAGGGATGAGGACGACTTAGCCAGCTGACCAGACAAGGACAAGGACCGGGAGGTGTGAGAAAAACATTGCATATAGCAAATACGAGACTGGCCCACTGTCTCATCTTCTATTTCACCAGCTAAGAGCGAGATATCTGATGCAAAAACCAGTTGCCACTTTTTGGCTTTTGCTGTGATGTGGAACCTAATATATATCTAAAATAAAAATAACTAAAAATACATTTTAGATGTAAAAAGATGCGAATATGTGAAGGACTTGGAATAGGTTATTGGGATGTAATATATTATTTTATCAGATTATCAATAATTTAAAACTCAGTTGTAATATAATTAAGTTTATTGCATATATATCGGTAAATGATAATTGATATTATTTCAGTTTTGGTTGATATTATATTTTCAATTCTACTTTAGATAACTTTTTATATATTATATATAAAAAAGCACAATTAATGTAACAAAATAATGCCAAATCGATTTAGTTTTTCAATATGAAAATTTCTGAACTTCTTTTTCTATCTTTTGTTCTATTCCTATTTTCATGTGATTTTTCATCATAGATGAATAAGAATATATGATTTTTTTAATTTTTAAATAATTTTCATCCAAATAGAAGGGTAAAGAAATTTTAATTCTAATAAATATTGAATATATATTTTCAATATATAATAAATATATATATATATATATATATATATAATATATATATATCTATCTATATATATATATATCTATATCAACTAAACTTTTAATCATCAATTCTAAAAATTATTAACGTAAGAACATATGATTTAGGTTCTAAATTTTGGATTTTACTTGGTAAATTGACCTGAATTTAGTCAAATTGAAAGAATTCGAACCGAAAGTAATCCGAACCGAAAACAACCGAACCGAAAATAACCCGAACCGAAAGTAACCCGAATTTAATTTACCCAAACACAATCTGAACCAAACATTGACCCGACTTTAACCCAAAAATAACTTATTTTTACAATATAAAAGATATCTATTTTTATTTATAATTTATAATTTAAATATTATCAATATATAATAATATAATATCATTTATAAATATATTTAAAATAATATTTATTCAAACATAAATATTATATCATTATTACTTTTATATTTAATAAAATATTATATTTATAATTGATTGTTAAGCATCTAATTTAAAATTTTAATTGATAATAAAATTTATAATTAAAATTTTTATTTTTTTAACCAAATAGATCTTACAACAAACTTTTCAATCCGGATCAATAAAAAATATCACAAACTCTAACATATCTTATAAGTCAAGTTTGAGTTAAACTATAATCCCTCAATGATAATTGAATTTGAATGAAATTGAACACAACTGATAAGATTAAAAAAATACATGTTTTTATAAAAATATATTAATAATTCTATATATTTGATTTAACTCATACTCAACTTAATCTGAATTGACCCAACTTCTAAAGTTGAATTAAACCTAAAATAATCGATTCGATATTAACTCGACCCGAAAATCAACTGATCCGACTTGATCTGACCCAAAATCAATTGATCTGATATTGATCCAAACTGAAAATCAATCGTTGACCTGACCTGACCTGATCTGACCCAAACCCAACCTAACTTATTATATATCTGAATAAAATCGAAACTCGAAATAACCCGACCCAACTTGAACTTAACCTAAGTTGAGTTTAAACCCAAAAAACCTGAATCGAAATAACATGAATTGAATCTAATCCGGATGACTCGTTTGCCACCTCGGAGCAACCGACTATAATTAATCCAACCTTAAAATCATATTCCATAGTTACCTTTTTATATCCTTTTGTAGATATGTTAGAAATTATTATATGACAGTTTTTTTATTGGCATTTACGAAGGGGGAAAAACAACTTTTCAGCATCCCAATAAATTAATTATTTGCTATTAACCAGTGTTGCATATATATATATATATTAAAAAATTAATCATCTGACAATAAATACTTTTATCTTTAATAAATACATGATCGAATCCAAGATTTCAAGGATAATAACAACTTATTAACCATTAAGATCGTTTGGTTCGTGCAAAAAAGTATAAATTTAAATCTTATAAATGATATTATTTTTGTTTATTTTCTAATAGTATGATGGGATAATAAGTTAATATTTGTTTAGAATTTACTTTAGTTATTAATAACGTGCATATACTCCTCGTAATATGTTTAAAATATTTTTTAGTTATTAATAATATGCATGCACTTTACAACATGATTACTAACCGGGAATATCTAGACAAAACAATATTCATTTTAATCATTAAGGTCACTTTATAAATTCAGGTAAATAATATTATAAAAATAATAATTATAAACTGTTAACTTAAATCTTATAATGGAGATAAAAATAGTATGTAATTTTTTTTTTGCAAAATGTGTATCATATTAATTAATTATAATATGAAGCATATAGTATTTAACCTTCATAAAAGAATTTCCATGAACTTTTAACGCATTGATTAATTTTCAAGTGAGTATTAACTTAAATCTCACTACTACTAGGGTGGAATCATATGAAACCGTATACTTGACGAAGACGACTTTCATATTTCACGTGATACATAAATGATGAAACATTATTAGCAAACAAACTTCTCATGTAAATGGATCAAAGACAATAATAAAACAGAAAATGGGAGAGCAATAATGTGAGAAGAATCATAGTAGGGCAATGGTGGTTTCTTTGTTCTCCATTTATCATTAATACCAACAAAATCTGTTGGTTGGTAAGCAGTCACCATTCCTCATGTGTTCAAACTCAGTGTCCAAGTTATTTATGGTTTCTAATTTTTTAATATTTATATTAAATAATATTTAAATATATTTATATCCAATATATATATATATATATATGTTTCTAAGTTACTTGTTCATACCTTAAAAAATAAAATTTAAATTTTGATATCATTGTTTTTTCCCCAACCAAATCCTTAGAAATAGAATAAATATCTGGAATGGATTCAACCACCGGTGATATATTCTCGAATGATTAAATAAACCACATAGGCCTGGTAATATAGCTTAGCTTCTGTACACCTGGTAAGGTTTGGCAGGTATTGGGGTTGGAAATCTGTAGGTAAACGTGAAACAAGATTCAGCATGTGCACCCATACTAATCGTTCTCATTCATATATAAAATATGTTTCAGTAACTCCATGCATTAGGATTATATGCTTGTTTAAAAGGCTATGCATGAAGAGTGTGTGAAAACTTCTTCTAATAGATGGGTAAAATCAATAAAATCTAATAGAAAAGGATTAGCAACCTAATTATGCATTAACATTTGTAAGGGAACGTATAATAAGTGAGGTATTTCTCACTATTCCTAATCTACTCCATATTTACGGTTAACGGTTAAAATATTTAGTCCAATTGGGCACAAAAAAGTTTATTTTGTGATATACGATATTATCTACAATATCCATATAGCTCGTCACATTGATGTGACTAGTTCCAATGAAAAATATATTTTATTGGACTGATTTGTCTGGTTTAATAGTTTATTATTTTTTTGGAACTTATCATGCCAACATGATAAATTTGATTATAATAATATTTATTTTTGAGTTTAGACCTTTTTTCGTAATTTAAAAAAATCATGGAACTCGTGATGTTGAGGTGACGAGTTCTATTGGTTTAAATAACTAGTCGTTTATAGCCGTTGGCCAACAACATGATTTTGAAATTATGGAACTTGTCATGTGGGCGTGATGAGTTTCAACAATCATTTTGATAAATTTTGATTATAAATAGGAGTGTGGTGAGTTGATAGAGTTTATATGAAAATCAAATCATGCATTTGTGGGAAGAATATTACGAAAAAAAATTTCGAATGGTCTATTTGGGTCTGATTAGTCAGACTTCGATGATTCGGATTTAAGCCCCACTTCATATGAGGAGTGGGTAAGCGAGCCAATAAAATCAGCGCTTAATCAACATAAGGAGAGAAGGAAACTTGGAGAAAAGAATAAGGTGAAGAAAATCGAGAAGAAAAATAAGAAGTATGAAGACTTACCAATCCGACGTAGCAAATGACTTGTAGAGAATGATGAAAAGAAAAATAATAGTTTATAAATTGAGGAGGAGAAGAAGACGAAAAGTTGATTTTTTATGTTGAAAAAATATTTTAAATATATGTATAATCTGTGTTTTGTTAAAAGTTATTTTATGAATAGTTTGCAATTATATATAAAAAGTTAAAAATAAAGATGGTTAATGACAGTGGCGGATCCATAAATATTTTTTAGGGAAGTAATAAAAAAAATTTGGATTTTAGTGTCCACCCTAAACTATATGTGGCTTCGCCACTGGTTAATGATGTTCATAAATTATCCAAAAAAAAGGTACAACAAACAACATGGAAACATAATTACAAATGTTTTATCGGCCCAGTCGATATTTATGAAGATGTGAACAATGATTCCTGTTGTGGCATTCACCTCTACAATGTCCACAAAGCTTTGGTAGACTTTGCTCTCATTGAGAATCATCCATAACAATATGAATTCGATTAAATTCATGTCGACTCTTCAACTTCCTTCGTAATTATGGATTTAGAAACCATTATTCAATAAGCATCGTTTGAGACATACTTAAACTCACAATTATATATGTTGTGTATGGTATGCATGTTATAACAATCATCAGTATAAGAGCATGGGTCTACATTAACATGCATACATGCAGCAACAACTGAACGCATAGGTATCTAAAAGCTTAAAATCGACCGCAATCACATCTTCTATTGAGATTATCGGTGTATGTGACAAATTTTTCACCATCATGTGATCGAATAAGTGCTTGGACAATTAATCAGAATCAAGTCTGGCTAAATTATGAACATACATTGATGTTGCATGTGTTTATTTTTATTTATTGCATTCTCCAAATCTTGAGCCCAACTTTTGCAATTGTTGATCATTGTCTTTATTTGTGCACC